CTGTAGTAAATCTCGTGAAGAGGCTGGTCTTTTTTCTTTTTTAAAAGTGTGTGTGTGTATATATATATATATCTATATATATCTATATATATATGAATGATAAAAATCTTTTGGGAGCTGTGCAGCCCGCAAAAAGCAAGTCGAAGGACTGTACATCATCGTAGAGTCCCCTCTCACAGCCTATTTCATCCCCTAAAATAAATCAGGCTGAGTAATGAATGAGGTTTTAAGAAATGTAACTGAACTTAAAATACAAGGTCAGTATCTCATCCTAGGTAATCCTTTGGAGGATGAGAAATTCTCCTGATTTTCCCACAGGGTTATTTCAGATGTGCTTTCTGAGCCAAACTATTTTAAAAGCGTTCATTCTTCCACTGGCCTGCCAAACACTAACTTGAGATTCACACGCACTTCTAGAGTGCCTATTAATGATATTAATGATCATGGATCAAAGGCAGACCCCAGAGGTTTATGTAAAAATTTCAGACAATTATTTAGGTGTTTTAAAAACTCACCTTCTGAATGAGGGTAACAATTTCTCAATGTTGGCAAGACAAGATGGTATGTTCAGATGCTTAGAGCAGATACAGAGGAGCCTTGGAAGAAAATGAAATGCAACTCTTTGTATGACTAAAGGGTCTGTCTATGAACTGATACCTTGTCCCCCAAACCTTTCCTGCTCTTCTTTTAAAATATAGTAAGTAGGTATAGTTACATTGCAGAAAACCCCTCTATCAATGCACACTCAGCTCTGAGTAAACCTGTCTCTTTTAACAGCCAGTATTTACATGCACACATTGCACACTTTCTAAAGGACAGCTCATAACTGTGGAATCACATGAGAATCGTTCTTTGAGGGCTTTTAAAAATCCCAATGCCGGGGCCTAAACTCAGGGATTTGGATTGAACCAGAAGCTACTTAGGTGATTTTGATGTGAAGCTAGGATAGAGAATCATTTTTAAATGGAGAAATTAATACATCAGAGTGGTATGTTTACCTCAGTTCTCTAATAGCCGTGGGTGGCACTTAAAATATTAGATAACTTTGACAGATGAACAATATGAGGCCTGAAAGGCTAAGTGACTTGTTCCCAAACATATAAAACCAATTAATGGCAAAGTGGCAGCTAAGGTAGGAAACAGGGTTTGTGGCTTGTAAGCACCATGCTATTATCCAGTCGCCAGATCCTGAGCCAAGCTCCATACCCCAAGCAGGGCATCATTCCTGTGGATTAGGCCACATGGTGAGCGATCATTATTACCAAAATGCTAAGGAGAAATGGACTATGCTTCATCATTTGTAGCCATTCTTAGCATTCCAGGCCCATCTATATAAGTGTATTCTTCCAACTGATATTGAAATCCTTCTGGAAGTCATGCACAGCACCAGAGAAGCCTGGGATACTAAAATAAAAAGCAGTGTAGAAAAGAGTTGGCCCAGGGTTTTATCAGTCCTGAATAAGGACTAGATCCACTTAAGAAAATGGAAATGAATCCACTTGGGGAATGTCGGCGTTTTCTGGAAAGGAGTTAAGGTCATGAACTTTACCCCCCACCCCCCAAGAGATCTTTCTTAGCTCCCAGTGGGAAGCTGAAGTAGGAACAAATAAACACTGTAAGGATCACCCACCCCCAAATCTTATGGGTCAATTAATTCCATCGTATCACACTAGGTTTTCCATACCTAAATCTTCAGGACCAATGGTTCAAATGGCTCCTTTGAACTATTTAAACAAAGCATTCAAAACCTAAGAACTGTTTCTAGAAGGAAAATGTTTCTTACCAATAGGACATACTTCAACATGTTCAGAAAAGGCTATTTTGGATGTGTATTCCTTGGGGATTCACTTATTTTTGAAAAAAGAAAAGAAAAAGTTACAATTTTCAAGACAATTTTTTATCTTTATTTATAAAACAGGTACATTTTCACTACATACATAGTTTCATCACCTAGAAAACTATTCAAACTATTTAAACAGTTTAGAATAAAACAAATGAGAAAACTGATAGGGAAAAAAGAGCTCACCTGGTGATTATGGCAGTGTTTGGCTTTCTAACTCAACTGAATAGTTATTCTAGGGATCTATCAAATTCACATCTGCAGGCACCCCATCAGATGCTTCAAAGGACAAATGCATGGTTTTACTGATTTTTGCTTAAGTTATCAAAATTTTTGATAAGGAGCTATAATAGCATTTACAAGCTAATATGAAATATGGTAACATGAGGCTGCAAGATTAAACTTATTCCGGACTGGTACTGAGTAACTCTAGATAATTAAAGATAATTTCAGCCATTCAAGTTCCCTCTGTTATGCTGCATATTGACATATATTTGTTCCCTGTCTTGTTAAATAAATATAGAGACCAAATTAGAGGGAGTTCTGCAGATTTCAGATAATTTAATTATACCCTGAAATTACAATACCAATGATATATATGGTTAGACTTCTGCACTGAATAATTACCTGAATTAACTTCATTTTACAATGCTTAATTTATTTTATACTAAGGAAGGCTTTAAACTATTTAAGAGAAACCAGCTTAATTTTGATTTTTTTACTTGCTTCAACATGTTTCAATTCATTAGTGTTTCAATATGAAGGAATGAACTCTCTTGTCTTGACAAACCAAGCATGGAAATTTCCTCATAAGAAAAAAGAAGAAATTAAGATGATTTCCATATTCAAGTCATAGCACGCTGAAGAGAGAATTTTTGGCTCTTAGGAAAGCGGCTGGTTACTTCAAGGGAGGGCCACTCACTACAGTTTTGTGGAAATATTACAGTTGGGCCTGCCAAAGAGCTTAAGGAAACGTGGAGTGGGGACACTGAATCCAGGCCATTCTCCTGGGCAGAGATTTCCTTCCCCTATGTGCCTGCCCTCGCCAAGCTCTTTCTGAAATCAAAGGCCATCAATATACACAACAGTCCATGCCAAAATCTAAACATGATAGCAAAAAGAAAACAATTATGCTGTGATCCCATTGTTGTCCCGAGAATATATTTTGGGATATTTCATTCAGAGATAAGCCATATTCTCCATAAATCAAAATAAAGAGGGGTTTTCTGAGTGTGTGTGTGTGATGCCATGGATCAAATCTTGCGCCTTGCACACGAAAAGCGCTTCCTCTACCATTGAGCTATATTCCCAGCCCCAAAGCCTTTTTTAAAAAATGCAATACTTTCCACACTCCTTGAATATTTAAAAAAAGGGAACTAAAAAATTGCTACACACACTCCATTCTCCATAAATGTTTGCTCCTTTGTATTTGACACATTATATGCATATTTGTCTAGATAGTATATGCATATTTCTCTTTGCCTTGGCAAAGAGAAAAAAATGTATAAGAAAAATCACCTGGATTGTTTCCAGACCTTCCTTGCTTGTGAATGTTAAAGGGGAAAAAAATACACCTATTAAAATGTTATTTAAGGCAGGTGTGGTGGCCCATGCCCGTAATCCCAGTGACTCCAGAGGCTGAGGTAGGAGGATCACAAGTAAGAGGCCAGCCTCAGTAACTTAGCAAGATTCAAAATATAAAAGGGGCTGGGGCTGTGAACCCATTGTGTGTGAAGTCTGAGAAAGACCACATCTATCTATAACACAAAGTTGCTATTTTCCTTATTAGATCTCATGAATTGTGTTTTCTCCAAATATAATAAACACTCAAGCCAAGACTTTTCTAGAAAGAAAATCATTTTAAGTTTGGCCTTAACCATCAAGCCCAGGTTAACTGATGAAATACCTTCTTAGGCAGTTTTCATTCTGAGAGTCGAACCCTACTGTATAAACAGAGTCAGCGCCACTGAGGTTATTAGCATTCTGTTGGGCTCCCTTTTCACCTATTTAGAATTCTTAGATTGGAATCTATTATGACAAGGGAAACAGGTGGGAAGGAATAAGAAAGGACACAGTGGGAAGGGCTATGTTGGGTCTTAGGGGTGCAGGAAGAGGACAGGTTTCCAGGTCAATGTTGTAACACCAGAGCAACAAAGCAACAGCATCTACATCCAGCAGCCAGGCTTTCTGACCATAACTGAACTTCATGACCCACAATGGTGCTCTCAGATATGGTTTCCTTTGGGTGGGCTTCATTCAATATAATCCAAGTGGGGAAAGCAGATACTGGGAGAGAGAGTTTGCAATTGGAGAGCATTAATAGCACTCACATGCTATTTTCTTTTATTTTATTGGGCTTTCTTTGCTAATTTTAACACTTTGGGGAATACCCTTGATTTTCCTTATTATATAAGGGAGATGCTACTTCAAAGGAACACCTGTTAGTAAGCAGAAAAAGATACATTGGTGGTCTTTGAATAAGATTTCTTTCCTACTTTTGGATGAAATTGAGTGAATGCTTCATTCTTTAACATTGTGAACCAAAGCCCTGTAACAAGAGGCTTCACCTAGATCTCAGACTATCATCTTGTCTAATCTTGACTTTGACTAATCTGGAAGTAACTAAGTTTATAAGTCTTATCAGGTATAATCACATGAAGCCAATCACAAAGATTTTTTTTTCCTGTTTTTTTTTTTTTTTTTTTGTACTGGGGCTTGAATCTAGGGGCACTTTACCACAATTACATTCTCAGTCCTTCTTATTTTTTAATTTTGAGACATTAAGTTGCTTAAGGCCTCCTTAAGTTGCTGAGGCTGGCCTTGAACTTGAGATCCTCCTGCCTCAGCCTCTGAGTCACTAGGATTATAGGTGTGTGCCACTGCTATCAGCAGGATTTTTCTTCATAAGGTGCTTTTTGGTAATGTATTTCAAATACCTTTCAGAAATCTGTTTCTCAGAAACAACTGTGATTTTATTCTTGAAGTGTTTAAGGTGAACAGTCCTGAAGTTCCATCTTCTACTGAACAAGTAAGGTCCAGATTAAACTTCCAGGTTGACCTCTTAGGGTTCTTATATTTCTGAGGTTGACCTCCTCTCAGGCTTCTTATTTTTTTTTATAAGTATTTTTTTTTTTTTTAGTTGTAGTTGACACAATACCTTTATTTTATTTATTTATTTTTTTAATGTGGTGCTGAGGATCGAACCCAGGGCCTCGTACATGCTAGGTGAGCCACAATCCCCACCACAAGCTTCTAATCTTTTTAAGAGTAAGTTGTGAGACCAGAGAAGAAACTTAAATTGCCTGTGAAGACTTCCAAATGGGAAACTAAACACTGGTCACTGACTTCCTCTTGGGTTCTGGTCTGTCCTGAACCTAACCAAAATCTTAGAGGTGGAAGAAAGGGCAGGGACAGGGATAGGCCTGAGCTACAAGTAAGAGCAAGCCTCTCCCATTTCTTCCTCTAATGCTGGGATAAATTATCCATAAACTTCCGGCAATTATAAGCATAAGTAACAGCTCCCTCGATGCTGTGGCTGTCATACTGTAGAATCTGGGAACAGAGTGACTCATACACTGAACCCAGGTGTTTTATAAGTTTGAGGGAATATGAGGGTGTACATGTCCACACGTGGCCCCAGCTGATGAGCTGGAGGCCATGGGAGCCAGGCTGGAGGAAATAAACATGAAGGAGACTTCAATTAGTCCAGTGGTTCTCAGGCTTCGGCATATTTTAGAGTCACCAAGAGCTTCTCATTCTATAGGTCTGGGGTGGGGCTTGACACCCACATTTCTAATTCATGTTTCCAATGATGCTGGTCCCAGTGGTTTAGAACCACTGGCTTTTTCTTTCACTGCCCCCTTCTGAAGCTGAGGAGCAGGAGGATCCACTGTACCCCTAGAACTTAACTATAGCACGAGGCACTGTCTTCATGTGTCCCATCATGAGGTCTGCATGGTAATGTCAAGGAGGAACATGTGACTGGTTTCTTCATGCAGTCCTTGCACAAATAGTCTCCTCTCCACCAAGGTGGATGGCTCTTTATCAATACAATTTCTGAAGACAGTTATAAAGTATGATGAAAAGAGAGCATTATTAGAATAAACAGATAGCCTCCTGAAGGTGACTGCTGGAAAGCAAACCCCAATGTGGATATGTACTGTTTTATTTAAAATAATCATTTTGCCAGGCGTGGTGGTACATGCCCATAATCCCAGCTATTTGGAAGGCTGAGGATGCAGCTCATTGGTAGAGGATTTTCCTGGCATGTACGAAACCTTAGATTTAATCCCCAATATTGTGATAAAGATAGAAACAAACAAACAAAATCTTTCTAACAAATTCCTTTTAAGTCTCAGCATCTATACATGTTGGCGCTCTTGTCACATATTTGGCTACTATTATCCTCAACTATGACTTTGCAATCCTTTGCAATTTCTTTCTTTTCTTGGTTGGGCTGCCTTGAATTGCAGATGATCTTTCAGTGTTTGTGGCTGAGCCGGTTTGCTGTGCCTGCCTTGGGTTATTTTTTATAAGATGTCTGGAGGGGAGATTTTCCAAAACATGCAACTCTTCCTTAGACATGGTTTTTGCCAAATCTTGTTTCAAAAGTAACCCCGGATCTGACAACTCTAAAATTGGCAAAACATTGACAGCTGTGCTTTTCTCCAGTATTATTTCTCCTGGGACTAATCGATCACTTCCAAGAGAAACTCTCTTGTGGTGGTCGAAGTCTTCCGCAGAGCCGCAGTTCCTGCGTTTCTGTTGTGTTTTGGCTACTCGTGGACTTTGCTTTGGACCTGGTGATGCTGACTCACAGCTATAGACAGGGCTCCTGCTTAGAAGCCCTGTCTTTGACCGCTCCCCAGGATGAGGTTTTTGCTGGCTGCTAGTGTCTTCTGGCTGGGTCTGATTAACATTTTCCAGCTTTTGAACAGGAAGACTCTGGTGGCACTCAGCTGCCTTTATGTAATCCTTTGCTTGTCCTGTGGATTCTGATGAGGCCTGACCATCATCCCTCCTCCTTGCTACCTCCGCAATCACTGAGTCACTAGATGTTCCCACAATGTCTCTGCTGGTCTGTGATTTGCTCTCCACGTTACTTTTTGTTTTTGTTCTTTTCGCACTAAAACAACAACAACAACAACAACAAAGATTTTACACTGTGTAAAGCTATAATGGCACAGTTTTCTTCAAATTCCCCCTCCCTCACATTCCCTCACCCGCAACAAGTGGTATGTGCTACCTGCCTTCTCCCTGTCTCCCCAGGAAATCTAGAAAAATCCCTAAGAGTGTGTTAAGCAATGATCTCTACATTTTTCATTATACTAGGTTATGTTATGCTTTTTGATCTGTATCATCAATGGAGTTCTCTTTAACTAAGGCAAATAGGTATTCATTTCAATGATATTAAGAGTAAATATTGCCTATGTATGATGCATTGATTTTTTTTTTCTAGGAGTTGATGCTCAAATATATCCAAAGCTTATGCTATGCAAGTGTACCTATGAACAAATATGCATACACACAATTTAATTTGTGAGGAAAAAAAAGTTTACTCAGTTTGTGAGTAAAATTTTCTGAAATTATTCTCAGGCCATTTCAAGGTATTATTCAAATATAACTACCATTTAGCTGGTGTCATGATTGTTCATTAACCATACAAGAATCAGACTCAGTTAATAGCACTTGAAAAAAAATTTCAGACAGCCAGCATGAGAGGGGAATGCAAATCTAACTCCTTTCTCTACAGAATACTCAGTAGACAAGGTAAACTTCATTCTGACTGTAAAAATTTAAGGGGCAGGACAGAAACTGTGTGAGGAAAATTTAGAGACTAAAGACCTTATTATCTTTAGCAAGAAGTATGGCAAGAAATCTGTGAGTGGCAAGAAATTTCCTTAACAATGAAAGTCAAAACACTGGAGCTCAGATATGTATTCTGACTAAGCTTTAGGGTGGAATCATGTATGTGTGTGTTTGTGTGTATATACAAACATATATACATATATATGTATTTCATATATATAATAACATATAATAACAAGGATTACTATCATTATATTAAAGTTAGAACAAGCATCTTAGAAAAGAAATGTATTTTTTAAGGACTGTCTGTAGTCACCCTGAAAGTTATATGAAACACACCACCAGCAGGTGCTTTTCATCTTCAAAGAGCTTGCAATTAATTACTCCTTGCAACACACTTATGAAGCAAGGACTCTACCCCCACTGTCCAGAGAGCAAAGAAAATAGTGTCAAGAGGGTGGGAAGGGCAAGTGTGAGACCCAGGGCAAGATCAGTGCCAGCCAAGCTCTGGTCTCCACACTCCATGCCTTCTTGTTTAATTCCATATTTCACATTATCCATCCATCCATACAGGCAGTCACAAATAAGAAAAATGAAACATGCTGGACCTACATTTGTTTCAGAGCATTTCTCTTGAGCTTTGCACTGGGAGGAAGTAGATTCTCAGCACACTCAGCAAAATAATCAGACACTCCGTGGAGAGCTCTTTCTGTCTATTCCAAAAGATAACAAAGGTTCAACCAGAAATCTATTAGCTGAATATGAGAGAAAACAGTTACACTCTGAATGCCCAGATGAACAGATTTATTTTTGTAAAGACTAAATGAAACTGCTTAGTGTTACAGGCTATTTTAACTTTTTTTCTTTTTTTTTATCTAGGACTTTCTGGTAAATTACAACTTCTTTTGGACTCCCAGTCTACACATTTCATGCATTAATATGTACCACAAACACAGAAAACTGTCATGTAAAGGATGTTGATTACAAGCCATCAGTAACTCTTGGCCAATATCTAATCTCTCTCTAGTCCAAATTGTGACAAAAGCCCAGAATCAATGAGCCAGGCTGCAGCAAGTTTTTGAGAAGACTTGGTGGTACGGTGTGCAGTACCCTGGTAATTCTGAGAATTCCCCACATTTTCTCCATTTGCAGAAATATAAATATTGTGTATAAGTGTAATGCTCTAATAAAAAAATAGAAATATTACCTATTTCCTTTGTAACCCTCAAGACTATTTCAAGAGTTGAGCTTTTTAATATTGGTAGCTTCAAAACTAGAGTTTGTCATTCTTAGCTACTAAGAAACCCAGGAATTTCCCTCTTATTCTAACTACTATTGTAGTCTTTATTTTTTTTATTTTATAATGAAGAGATTATCAGCCTATGATTTCACATACCAATGGAAACATTGTAAGGACACAATTGTAAAAGTTTCTCAACTTTTGCCAACACTGACCTTTGTATGCAAGTAGATAAGCCAGACAAGGTGTTAATGTCTCTTTTTCTGGGACACTAAGTATTCTTCCCCATGAAAATTCCAGAAAAATGTTCCTTCCACAAAGAATTGTTTTAGTTGATTATCAAAAAGTCTTTGCTTTATTTAGGCTTACATGGGAATTAGCAGTGACAGCCCAGGGATCCTGGGAGAAGGCAGCCATTAGTATTAAGCCTGGGTATTCTCCAAGTGGATGTGATGGGCTTTACCCAGTCACTGTCCATACCACTGAGTTACCAGAAACATTTACTTGCCAAAAGTGCTGATGACTTTAGGCCCAGGCAGATGTCACTCAGTCATATCTAGTTTTAATAGTTAGTGAACAGAGTATTACAGGCTTTATTGGATTATACTGCATTTTGATGCATTTCCTTTTTGGTTTTCTGTTCCCTAAATTTAATAGTTGATAAAGAGTGTGTGTGGGGGGAATTAAAAGTTAAATCAGAGTTGGTGGGGGGAGGGAGCTAGAGAGACACTTTAACTTTGACAGGAGATTGGGAGCAATAGAGATTTATGTGTGAAACACTTCTAAACATGCCCTATAAGTACAGTAGATTTCCCCCTTATAACCACACCCTGTAAGTGCTGTATTTTCAGAGCTGAACAATTAACATAAGGAGCATGAGTCAGGCTTTGAACAACTCTGTGGGAACCAGAAAGCCTTTTGCTATTAGGAATGATGTAAATTCCCCAAGGCTGGAAGAAGTCCACAATGGAAGGCAGACAAGGTCATAAATAACAACAATGGATTCTGCGCAGACCACATGAAGTAGGTGCCTAGATAGGGACGCGTTCTTCAAGTCTCCCACTTGATTCAATCACTGTCTTTACTTATTTGTTTCAAAAATTCAGTTGAAAGAGCACCATGTATTTCCTCTGGAACTTCAAAAACTTATTTAAGAAACAGCAGTCGGCTCTCATCCCAAATTCCTCTGACAATAATGGGGGAAAATGTTCTTGGAAGAAAATGAACAACAGAAAAGGTGACAGACCAGTTTAAAAAGTGCAAAACCCGTGACTTAGTTTAGAAAAGAAAAAAAGAGTAGGAAGAGAAAGGCAAGGCAGGTCTTTTGCTTATAAATTAAAACCACATTTGCCAATTTGTTGAAGGAGGCATATTTACATTTGTGTGAAGACTGGGTGGGCAGGAAAAAAAAAAAGATTAGCCTCCTTATTCAGCCCTTGAACTGTCAGACCTCATTAGAAATCTCTTATCCTTACATTTCTAGGGTCAATTCACTCCTCTTTGTCACTAAATCATAGCCTCTGCTCCCCACCCCGCAATATTCCTAAGGAAGCAGCTATCACCTGGGAATAGAATTTTCCAAAGGGATTCATCCTGATTATTAATGCTTCTCACATCTGGCATCAAAATGAAGTCAAGGCTTATCCAGAGGCAAACTCTAAGGTGCAAATCTATAGTGCTTGCTGAGAAGGTTGCAAGAGCCTCCAGGGCTTCCATGGATGACAGCACTACTTTCAGATTCTGTGTGAATAATGATCGTATCATCTTCTGAAAGAAATACAGGCAAACCCAACATTTTTAAAGATAGCTACCAAAGTCCAGAGTGAACACCCCATGGAAGCTCAGGTATTTAAAAAACATTATTAACCAAGGGGATCTCTTGGGGCCTTCATAAATGATTCTTTACAACCGGGAAGCTACTCCTCTTAGTCTAGGCCAACAAATCAAGTTCCACAAATATCATTCCTTGGTATATGCCATTCCTAGTCACCCGCACAACCTCTATCCTACCCTCATTTTAATTTCTGTAACACTTTGAAGATTTCAAATTTAAAACTTTCTATCTGCAAAGAGTGTCAAAACAGAAGAAGGACAAGGCCACTGGCCCCAGAAAGATACCCTTCCTCAGCAACTTGAGCATACCAGGCAGGCCTCAGAGCAAGGAGCCAGGCCTTTTCTTCATGCCTGAGGATGCTCTTAGAGACCACTGAATGCTCCTCAAGGTTAAAGTCAGTTGAAGCACATGTATTGAAGCACATGTGCCGCAGCACAGATCCAAGGGGAAGACTGAGTTAGGTGTGAGATTATGATGATGACTGATAGTGTTACCACTGTTGGCCAGTGATGAGTCCTTGCTTCCCCAATGTTAAAGAATAACACCAGAGAAGCACGCCGAGGCAAAGACAGAGTAGAAATTAGAAGTTTATTAAAGGACAGCAGAAAAGACTTCTCCTGGAGGAAGAAGGGGACCTAAGAGGTGGAATCCCTTGAAGGGCGAATGTGTTCCCCTTTTTACAGTTTTGGTGATGGAATGAAAGGGGGAAGGGTTGGGACACAGGTGGGCCAAACAAGTAATCTGGGCAGGAAGGACTTCATTATCACTTCTTTGGGATGGGCTATCTCCAAATCTGTTGGGGGCTGTTTCCTGGGTTCCATTAACATTTCTTTGGGGTGGACTTTGGCCTAGGGCTTTTATGGGACTTCATTAACATTCCATGAGTTGTCCTGCGTTTCCAGAATCATTATCAGCATGGCCTCCATTTTAGATTTCACTCGATATGATATTAGACCCGATTTACCTAACTACACTGACTACCTAATTTTAAATCTGGCTTTAATAGCACCCCCATGCTGTAGGGTCTGACCAGGGAAACATTTTAAATTCCTGGACAAAAAGGATTACAAAGCGAGTCCCCAACAGAATGAGCTGGGAAACTTAAGACACACTTCTGGCCTTTTATTCAGAGAATGAGCTGGTTTGAAATGTAGCTGGAAATGATGGTCAACATTCAAGGCACAAAAGCACGTTAAAACTGGGGATAAACCTAGGAGTTCTCATTCCATAGTGACTGACTGAATTCACCAGTTATGAATAGAACCTGTTACATTAATGGGGGATGGAGCAAAAATCTAGCCTAAAATAACAGTAAAACCAAAATAAAACAAAAACTACCTGCACTTGAGTTCACAACCTCCTTATGCTTCATGGAGTCTCTAAAACCAGTCAGGATTCCTAAAGACTAGTGGGAAGATGAGATACCTCTGAGACACTGCAGGAGTTTTTTAAAAATACAGATTTCCAAGATCCATCCCTGGAAGTTCTAATTCACAAGATCTGGGGTAGGGCTAGGAGATCTATATTTAGGTTCCCAGGTGATTCAAACACTGCTTCTATACATAAAGCAACACTCAGTGAGGGAGAGCAACCAAGAAACAAATATAATCTGGTATAATGTGATAGCACTTGGTAAAGTGTGGCTAGGGATACCTGGCATCAAAATTACCAGATTCCACTCCGATTCTACTGAATTTGTTACCTCCAAAGTGAGGGTCAGGGCATATACATTTTAAGCAAGCTCCCTAGTGATGCTATACCCAGCAATTAATGAACTTCTGCTCTAAGGGTACATGAAATTAAAAACTGAGCAGAATCCAGCAGAATGATCCAATATAGCAAAACTCTGAACTCTGAACTACTCACAACTTGGGCCTCTGGGGAAAAAGATTTGGACCCACAGAAAAAGACCTAGTTTCATGGAGTCTCCACCAACAGGGATATAAGAAACAAATACAGAATGTGTCAGGTGGTGACAATGCTATGAGGAGAGATACACATCTAAAGGTCCATGAGGTGTTATTTTGAATACAGTGTTCAGAGAAGGCTGCATAGGCTGCAATGTGAGTTATGGACAGCAATCTGAGCGAAGGACAAGCTCCATGAGCATATGGGGAAGAGCATACCCTGAGGACAGAATATGCCTGGAAGTGTGGAGGGACAGCCAAGTAAACCAGGGCAAGGGGTCAGAGGGACAGGAAAGTAAACCAGGGCAAGGGTGTGTGTGAGTACTAGTGGTAGAGGGGCAAATCTTAAATGGCTTTTTAAGGATGGGATATATCATTAAAGTGAGAAAGATGATATTATGCCTATGGAAAGTTGTGAAAAGAAAAATGACATTTTAAAAGGTTCACCTTGGGTGTTGTAGAGGGACAAGGATGGAGGCAGGGGGATCATGATAAGACACAGCAATAGTTCACTGAGGGATGATGGGTCTTGGAGGAAGCACAAGGTAAAGAAAAGCGCTCAGACTGGAAATATAATTTGAAGAGAGGCTCAAAAGAATGTGCAGGTGAACTGGACATGGCAGTTATGGGAAGAGAAAAGTAAAGGATGAGTCCAAGTTCTGTGGTTTTAATAACTAAATGCACAGAGGAAGCTGCCGTTTGTCATTGGAAAAAAATAGTGGGGAGGGGCAG